AAAATTGATATTTACAATAATTTTCAGACGAAAAATAAGAATATTATAAATGGAGGGAAAATGGGCGTAGCCACGCCCACTTATGGTTACATGTGTATATCTTGGTAACCGCTGCACCAATTTCTTCCAAACTTGGCACAGTTGTTGGCCTTAGTACAGCATACTAAATGGCTGAAAATTTTAAAAATCGGACAATAACCACGCCTACCTCCCATATAACGGTAATTTTCAGAAAAACGAAAACTGCGATATTTTAGTAACTACTGAAGATAATTCACTCAAAATTGATATTTACAATAATTTTTAGACGAAAAATAAGAATATTATAAATTTTTGGAAAATGGGCGTAGCCACGCCCACTTATGGTTACATGTGTATATCTTGGTAACCGCTGCACCAATTTCTGGCACAGTTGTAGGCCTTGGTACAGCATACTAAATGGCCGAAAATTTAAAAATGGGAAAATTTCATATAACGGTAAATTTCAGAAATGCTTGAAATTTCAATATTTCGAAATTTAAGGATGCTAGTTTACTTAATATTTATACACCCCGGCTTATCAAGTAACGGTATGTTTCGGAAAGGTGGAAAACATATATTTAATACTTGCGCCGGGTATTTAATGTTCGGCTCCGCCCGAACTTAGACTTTCTTACTTGTTTCTTTATTATTTAATTGTTCTTTTTTTTTAATAAAAATAAGCAGCTTATGCACTAGAAACGTTGTTGGAATATTTTATTTTCATCAATAAATAATAATAATAATATTAAACAAAATTTTTTTCATTGAACTTGTATGACACTAAAGAACTTATTTAGGTTTATTTTCTAATGAAATTGTTCTTAAACAAATATTTTCTCCCTTCAAATAAAATACAAAGGAATTATCTTTTCCTCCATATTTTTATTTTGAAATTTACTCTGTAAGTAAATTCAGTCAGTAAGCTGTCTCACGTTTTAGTCTCAAAAAGAAAGATATGGAGGAAAAGAGAATTGCTTTCTATTTTATTTAAAATAACGCGTAAATGAAGCGAGGAAATGTTTGTTTAACAACAATTTCATTATGAAATAAACCTAAGTACTTTAAATCATAAAAAGTCAATGAATAAAAATGTTTTTTTTTTTAACATTAAAATCTTCAGATTATTTAAAAAGGAATTAAAAAATAAAAATAAATCATAAAAAAACTCGCCCACGGGAACTCGAACTCGGATCTCTCTAGTGGTACTCTAGCGCTCTGTTCACTCGGCCATTGCGACTGTAAAGGCCCGTCCACATAGAACTTTGGCGTTGCGTTGGCATTGGCGTCGCTTCAACAGCTGACTATGGATACATGAATTCAAATGCAGCCGTCCACATAGCCAAAATTCGACAACGCTCACGCCAACACAAAGCAAAAAGATGGCCAACTCTCAACTTTTCGCGTGCGTCGCTCGTCAGCNAATGCAATTATTGATATGAAATATTAATTTATCTGTCATTAGTATGTTAATTTAGTGGCCCAAGCATTCGCTGCCAAGCGTTCATTGTAGCAAGCCTACTTTTAACGTGCGTTCGGTCAAACCAACGCCAACGCGAAAGTTCTATGTGGACCGGCCCTAAGAGCAGCGCGAGCAAAATGGCATACATACAGTGACGAGCAAAACTGTAACATGATGTAACACTTTTTATTTCAGCCACCGCTATCTTTCATAGTTCTAACTTTCATACTTTTGTTGTATATTCTTATTGGTACACTCCTACTCCCGCTCTCGTAACGATTTGAGGTCAATCCAACAACAATAAAAAAACCTGGAGACAAAAATGTAAGTTAAGGCAAATGTTACAGTTTTGCACTCACTCTCAGTTTTGCATTTTACAGTTATCTTTTGCTTAGTTGGAAGTCAGATGACTTTTTTTTGTATTGTAATTTATTCAAGAAGTGATCACCAATAAATAATATGGTTAATCAGGAAACATAAATGTAAATAATAG